TATATATATATATACATAGTACGTTATACACAACATATATGTTATATACACAACTTTAAACAAGTAACAAAAAAAAGAAAGAAATACTCATTTAAATGTTTAACATTTTCCTTAAATGCATTTTGAAACATTTACATTTACATTACAGAAACAGTTAATATCCTGTATAAACACAAGACCTCACTAACACGTTTGAAATTGTATTGTTAACTTAGCTCATAGAAATGAATGTGAATCACCTCATCTTCTTGGTACCCCGACTCATCCTCCAAAGCCTGGTCCTCTAAAGCTTTCATTCTATGGATTTGTTTAAAAAAAAAGTTTACACAATAAAATACATTGTTTTGGGGGGCAAATAACCGTTCATTACAGTCTGTAAGTATCTAGATAAATCTTTATATTTGGCTTAATTTTTAATCAGCTGCCTGTTAACTATGTTAGCTGTCTGTTTGGAATTGATCTTAATTCTCGTTGTAGCTGTTACATTAACAGTTAATAGTAATATACAGTAATAAAGTGTCATGTTCCTCGTAAAAGTGCAAAATAACTGCTTTTATAAAAATGAATGAATATAAACGAAATTTTTACCTCACGTTAATCCCTCAAAGAAAGCTAACAGAAACCAGTGGCTCAAATCAGTGATATATCTCGCGCGGAGTGAAACTTTAGCGCGCGCATCTGTCCCGCCTCTGAAAGTCAAACGGCATGATGACCGTCACGCACAGTAAGTTTAAGTTTTTTTTAATAGTTGTGATTTTTAAACGTTAATAAACATATGTCTAGGTGGTTTTGTTGATCTCTTTCTCTGGGAAAAAATAAATAAATATATATATATATATATAATTTTTCACTCTTTATTATATTGCAGCCATTTGCTAAAATCATTTAAGTTAATTTTTTTTCCTCAATGTACACACAGCACCCCATATTGACAGAAAAACACAGAATTGTTGACATTTTTGCAGATTTATTAAAAAAGAAAAACTGAAATATCACATGGTCCTAAGTATTCAGACCCTTTGCTCAGTATTTAGTAGAAGCACCCTTTTGATCTAATACAGCCATGAGTCTTTTTGGGAAAGATGCAACAAGGGTCTCCACTGTACACACAACTATACAGGGTAACGACTTCTTGATGTTGACCAAGCACAGCATCTTCTCACATCATTCTCCAGTTCCTGTTCCCTCTCTCTTTCCCCTTCTTCTTCTACAACTCATGGATGCTACAATATATACATCATCACAGCTTCCCAGGAGCAGGTGGCATCATTCCAGGCATTCCTCCAGACATGCCAGCATTTGGACCCAACAAAATCTATTAAAAGCAGCAAAATGACAAAGGGGATTCATATTTCAATAAAAAAAGTACACATAAAACACATGCTTTTAAATATGGTAAACCACAACATCCCAAACTTACATTTAAAGCAAAAAAGCAGTTGAAAATAAGACAAAAAATACAGGCACAAGACAGTGTAGGAAAGAATTACAAATCCCGTGAAGCATTGCAAATAATACATACACAAATTAAAAGCAATGGGTAAAAAATGAAATTATTCAAAGATGTTACACAGGGAGACTGACCCTGCTACAGTCATTCACAGTGCTTTATGGCAGTGTGCAGCTCTTTTGGCATTTGCTTTTCATGATTCTCTAATTGGTGGAGATTTCTATGCATGAATCCTGGGTAATGTAGTTTTCCATCCGCAATCCCATTTAAATAATAATAAATTAAAATTCCTCTGATTAACAACCTCGTAGCTCAAAGTTAGTTTAAAGATTTATAAGTTACAGTGAAAAAAAACCAACAAAAAAACAAGTTCCTTATGGAGAAAATAACTAGGATTTTTACTTCCGGAACCCAACTGTTGAAGTCTATAGCTTTAAATATGACTCATCCAATCTGAATTTAGTGTCAGAACAATATATTTCATTATATCATCAGTACTGTTTTGAGTTTTGTTTCAAACACATTTGTTACATAATGAGATGCTGTTTTTGCAGTGATTCTTTAGTTTGTATCTTTTGATATAAAATTACTCATACTGTTATACAAGATTCTCATCATACAGCTCACCTCTATTTAGTTGAGTATCATATTGCAAGGAAAGTGTTTATATTTATGCAGGATGTTTTTGGTGCTACTTACCTGTCTCTGCTGTTGTAGTTGTTGCTGTTCCAGCTGTAACCTCTCAGTCTCAAAGACAACCGGCAGAACCAGAATCATAAAGGAAGTAGTACCGACCCATAGAGCAGAGCGGGAGAAACTACAAGAAAGCATAGTATGAACAAATTATACTAAAATGTCCAGATTATAAAGAAAAGTACTGTTTTGAGTGGAAGATACAACTGCCAGTACCTCACCTGTAAAGTTTTTTGCCTACAGATAGTGAACACTGTGCAGAAACTTCAGCTGCTGATCGCAGTGATTCTGGAAACATCTCTGTGAGACCCCACAACCTCTCCAACAGTGTTTCATCCAACTGGGAGTGAAGGAAAAAGTAGGAACCATGTCAGAAAATTAACACCACCAATCATGGGACAAAAGAAACTGCCTGGCTTACTCGGGACTCAATGGAAAACCTCATTCCTCATGTGCAGGTATGCAGGTACACTGCATTTGACAGTATTAACTGTGCAATATTAAAATATGATATACTATGTGTATGTGAAAAATTAAGATTGATATTAAAGGGCAAACACTAATTATTGCAAGAAATAATAGTAAATTATAGTAAAATAATAGTAAAGTACAACCAGACACAGGAACAGTTTCTTTCCTCAGGCAATCCATCTCATGAACACTTAACAATAATCGTGGAACACACAACACTAGTATACATTATTTATTTAACACACATACTTATTTACATTTCAAATTTGCACATATCATACCTGTACATACAAAGTTGTCTACATTATATATCGTCTATTTTGTCATTATTCTTTTTATTATCTGTGTCCTGTCTTGTCATTCTGTTGCACTGTGGAGCTTCTGTCACTAAAACAAACTCCTCGTATGTGTAAACAAACCTGGCAATAAAGCTCATTCTGATTCTGATTCTAAATTAAAATGATTTATTTAAATAAATTGATCATTATTTAGTAGAAATAATTATTCAAGTGACACTTGCGCACAACAAATCCCTGAATAAAATAAATGAAATAAAAACGTGAGACAAATACACAAACATCTTAAAAAGTAGGCTTTTCATTTTATGCCAGGTTTGACCAGCTAAATAGCTAACATTGGCTATAAAAGCACCAAACAAGCTAATAGCTTTAGTCTTTTTCCTTACAGTTTCCTTTATCTTCACAATTTCATAAGGTCAAGCAAAACTGCAGAAGCAATCAAGTACCTCTTCATCCTCATCATCACCCTCGATCTCGTCTTCGGGGGGTCGTGTCTCCCCACGGCCAGAGTCTGGAGAGAGCTCCTGGATAGCAGCCATTTAAAATACGACGCTAGTCACTTTTACCAATAACGTTATATTATAACTGTGAAAGGACCTCAGGGATGTTTTACAGCTTCACAACCACTTAGAACCACAGAGCACGCATTGAAACCTGAGGTCACTTTGGTTACATGTGAGGCGGATTTACTTCCCCGGTTCCTTGAAAGGAAGCACAAAGACATATTAGGACACCTATCGACAGGGAGGTCTTACTGCAGCTCATGATTGCGTGCTAGTGGGCGATGAAATAGTGGAATTTGCTGCTATTATTACCATGAAGTGGAGGAGGAACTCCAATTACGTACATATTCACGTCACTTCATACCAAAAGAGAGAGAGAGAGAGAGAGAGAGAGAGAGAGAGAGAGA